AGAGGTCAGTTTGTATCTTGGCCCCCATGGAGATACGCCAGGGTTTGGGGAATCAGGGATGCAGGTCAGCTGGGGGCTTGGCTCAAGTTGGTGGGCTGGGATGGTACTGCTTAAGAGCCAGGTCAGCCCTTCCCATGCTGCTGCGTGGCCTTGGCCACTCTGCCCCTATCCAGGCGGCCTACCTCTCATGCTGGGCAGCCCAGCGTCCTCCAGGCCCTCATCCCACCCTCATTTCAACGCTGGGCCTCCTGTGCCCCTGGACACGAGGGGATGAATTTTCCAGAAGGCAGATGAGGCCGAGCTTCAGGGGTTCTTGCTGCTTGGGTCCCTCTGGGACCGACATCTGCCTTGTGCTTCTAATTTTGTATTCCTTTTCTGCGGGAGGGACTGCACACCACACACGCTCAGGCTGCTACCCACAGCCTGACTCACCCTAATCAGGTCAGCTACCTAGTCCCCCAGAGAGACACTATGCATCAGCCTGAGGGGAAGAGGGTGGCCAAGACGAAGGAGTGAGAGAGAGAGCAGGGGCAGTAGGAAGAGGTAGGGGAGAGGAGAGGAGGGAGGAGAGGAGACAGCTCTGATCTTTAGCCAGCCCTCGCCCCTTGGCCTAAGCTCAGTTGCAGCACTGAAAGCATCTGTAGGAGACACATTTCAAGATCTGAGAGGTCTGTGGGGATGGCGGGAGGGGCACAGGATGGAGATCCTAGGAGTGGGCCTGGCTCCTCGGGGTGCTAGGGAGGGGTGTAAACCCCTAGTGTGAGTCAGACCCTCCCATCCTCTGTATTTCCAGGGCTCCAGATGATGTAAATGGCTGTCATGGAGGCACAGTCACTGCCCCAGGCTGGGCCAGGACTCCACGCCCTCCTTCTCCAGAGATGGCCCTTCTGGTCCCAGCAAGGCTGGCCCTGGAGCGGTTTGCAGCTTCTGCCTAAACCCCCGCCCTGCCCTGTGGGGGCAGGGTCCTCAGGGAACCCACAAATCCAGAAGTTAGGAAACCTTGCTCTTCTATTCACCTCAAGCGGCTTGCCCAGGCCCTCCCTCTCTGGGCCTCAGTCTCCTCGCCACGGAGTGGATGTGGTTCCCCAGTTAGCCCGTCTGCTGGATTCCAGGGGAGAATGGTGTCGTGCTGGACAGGCCGCTGCTCACCACCGTGGGGCCACCTCCACCACACAGAGTGGAGGTGCGCCCACCTCAGGCCCAGCCCACACCCCGCCCCTTCAGCGAGTGGCCTCTGTGTCAGCTATTGGTGTAAAGGTATTCGTGAGAAATGGGGTTCAGGTGGTCAGAGGCCAACGGTCAGGGAGAATGCAGGCCACCCCAGGAGGAGGGAGTTTGCAGACTCAGACACAGGTGGAGCCTGAGGCCCAGTTCTGGGTTCCTCTGAGGAGCAGCTTGGGTGGCTCAACCTTCCTGGATGGGGCAGGGGAGCTGTGTCTTGCAAAGGGAGGTGGGTGGCCACTGGGAGAGCCTCCGCTGCTCAAAAAAGACAGTGCAGGCCATTTCCTCTGCATGTCCTGATGACCACGTGTGCAGTTGTGTGGCTTCCTTTTGTATGGCTTCCTACTCCTTCAAGGGTCAGACAGCCTTAAAAGCCTGAGCCTAAGGGGGCTGGAGAGACGGCTCAGCAGTTAAGAGCACTGTCTGCTCTTCCAAAGGTCCTGAGTTCAATTCCCAGCAACCACCTTGGTGGCTCACAACCATCTGTAATGAGATCTGGTGCCCTCTACTGGTGTGTACGCGTACATGCAGGCAGAGTACTGTATAAATAATAAATAAATAAATCTTACAAAAAAAAAAGTCTGAGTCTATACCCTTGCAGATTCCCACCCCAAAACAATAGACACCTCTTCTTACTATTATCTTAACATCAAATCTCAAAGCAGAAAGACGGTTGGCTACAACTAAGTCGTATGATGGCCTCCTAGGCCAATCACGAAAGCCAAGGCTGTGGGAGTGATGATTGGTCAATGTCTACCGTCCCAGCCAATCGGAAGGTGAGGCAGTGTGACGGACAGTAGAAGCTGGCCAGTGGGGTGGGCCATGCTGACACACGGTATCTGAAACCTTGACCTTGACCTTGCAGGGCAGCTGTGTCTCCAGGCTCTGCCCCCCCCCCCCCCGGAAGTCTCCTGAGCAGGGCCATTGGGGTGACAGTCACACTGTGAGGAGCCTGCTTTGGAGCTGCGACTGGGAGTCAGTGAGGATGTTTAGGGCAGGCAGGGCAAACTGAAGGAGCTTGTTTTGGGTTTGGGGACTGGAATCTGTAATTTAGTCCTGAGCAGAGAGCAATGAAAGTTGCTGACTTACCTTGATCTTGTCGCTCAGAGCTGGTTGCCAGGCAACAGCCCATGGTCATCAGCTTCTGGATAGGGACTTTGTGCATCCGTGGCGCCATCCATCCGTGACAGCGCAGTGGGAGAAGAGCTGGGAGTCTGCGGAGCCCGAGGCGAAGGGTCGTTGGGATCTTCTTTACCCGAAGATAATGTCGGCCACTGTCCCGACGGGAGGTGACAGCTGGGCTCTGTGGAAGCCCATGTAGAAAAGTCTTGAGTAGCGGAACCTCAGGCTGTGCTGCAAGAAAATCCCTGACAGAGCCTCAGGACACTTTCTGTCTCTGACAATGGACTCTTGGGGAGGCTAACATAAATCTGTGGGGGGAGTGTATCCCCTGAAAGTCGTGAGAGGGGTTGGAGAGCGGCCTCAGAAGTGAAGCATGCCAGCTTCTTTTCCACAGGACTGGAACCCATGACCGCAGCTCACATCTGCCTGTAACCAATTCCAGGGATCTGATACCCTCTTCTGGCCTCCAAGGGTACTTGGAGGGAACTGATTTCAAGTTGTCCTAAGACCTCCACTTGTGTGTCATAACACACACACACACACACACACACACACACACACACACACTCAAGAATGCACACACACATGCAAACACACAGAGAGAAATAATATATTGTTAAAATATAATATCTTATATAATATACACATGTATATATATGGAGAGAGAGAGAGACCCAAAGTTAGGTGTCCCCGTCCTTAAGCTCCATTTTACTGTGGACCTACTGTGTGACTTTTTTTTTTTTTCAATTCTCTGGACATAGTTCACTTAGTTAGCAGAGACCCCCCTGAGGGCCAGCTGTGTGCCAGCACCCTGCCCCATACCGGGATGTCCGGGAGGAAAGGTGACTGGGCATGGCTCCTGTTTGTGGACATTCCTAGGTGGCCACCTGTGAATCGCTCCTTTCTGGGGGCAGAGGTAAAGAAGACTTTCTGCCTGTGCTGGGAGAGCACAGTGGGTGTTCATGGGGGTAGGTGCTGGAGCCTGAGTGTGTCAGGTGTAGAGGCTGGTGTGTGCTCAGGGTCTACGGGTAGGCAATGCAGCCAGCAAGGTCATGGGAGGGTGAAGTCCCATGCCAAGGCAGAGGCTCTGAAGTACTGGTGTCCTGGAGAGTTCGCTGGACTAGGCTCTGGACTGTGTCCCTTCCAGTTCCTGTACTGAAATCTTAATCTCTGTTTCCTTTCTCTTGGAAACAAGGTCATTGCAGATGTAAATGGGGAGAGAAGTCGCTCTCAAGTAGGGTAGACTCAGCACAGTGCGTGTTCCTGGGAAAAGATATTTGGAGGGGAACTCAACAGGAACGGTGTTGAGGTAAAGATCGGGGTGATGGGTGGGGAGGCACACACCCGTGACTCCAGCCCTTGGAAGGCCGAGAGCACTGTCTGTAGTTCAAGGCCCTTTTGTACTACATAGTGAGACCCTGCCTTAAAAACCCAGGCCCCACAAAGGTCAGGGTGACGCTTCTCCAAGCCCAGGGATGCCGAGAGTGCCAGCAAACTCCCATAAGCCAGGTGGAGGCTTGGAACAGACCCATCGTTCCCAGAAAAGCTACCGGGTCTGATGCCTTGCTCCTGCCCTTTAGGATTCCAGAACTGGGTCTGCTTATGCTCCTCTCTGTGTGTCTGTGTGTGTTTCTAATCTCTCTGTTTATCTTTTGAGACAAGCTATCTCTCTGAACCCAGAGCTAGGGCTACAGATCCATGTGGCGGTGAGCTGCTTTTTCATGTAGGTACCCGACATCCAAACTCAAGTCCCCACACTTGCAAGGCGGGCCCTTTACCGACTAAGCCATCCCTCCAGCTCTTGTTTTCTCCTTTCCAAGGCAATGTCTCACTCTGCGGTGCCTGGACCTCAAAACTGTCCTACCTCAGCCTCCCGACTGCTGGGATGACAGGCATGCACCACTTTCTCTGAAGCTTTCTCTGAAGCTTCCAGCTGCGGCACTGGTTAGCACCATTGACCATTTGCCATTATGGTGGCTACCTCCCGGTCCCTAGAAGATCTATCAAACCAACCTGCTCCCCCTTCATGCAACATGCGGTGATTGGGCATTGTTAAGTGCCAGAGGCTGAGCCCAGAGGCCAGACGGTTTGCTTAGGAAAGGAAGGGACAGCAGAGAGCGTCAGTGTGTAGACACTGTGGTTAAGTCCCGATCCATGCACCAGCTGTCTGACTTTGAGCCAGCCAGTCGACTAACCTTTCTTGGCCTCACTTTCTTCCTCACCAGGCTGAGGAAGTACAGAGCTTAGGCTGGTGCCTGGGGCCCACTGGACAGACGTGCAAGGCCTTCTGGGGAGGCCTGGAATGTCACAGCTGTTGCCCAATGTCAAGACCAGAAAGAAGATCAAGAGAGAACACTGCTTTCCCAGCCCCTGGACCAGGGCCACCCTCCTGCCTCAGCCTCCCCAGGGCTGTGGATAGAGTGATGCTGAGAGTTGGGTACTCTGAAACTACCGGTGCCAGCTCCCTGGTGGCACACAATGCCCCTGGGAAATGTATGTAGCAGAGGAGATAATCAGGCCACAGGGCCTCAGTGGCTTTGCAGAGGCCCAGCGCCCCAAGCCCTGGAAAGGCACTCCAGGGTACTGTAGCATGTGGGTAAATCGGGGGTGTGTACAGGCACTTGTCTTTCTCACTGGCCCCAAGGAGTGCCCAGCCATGCCTCATGTCCCTTAGGGACCCAGAGACCCGGGTTCCTGGCCGCATCCTCTGCTACCATTATGTTTCATGAGGGGAAACTAAAGCCTGTGGTGGGGGCAGGTTGTTTCAGGGCTTTGCAGAGAAGGGACAGAATGTCCTCTTTCAGTCTGGCTATCTGCTTTAATGGCCAGGAAACGTGTCAATATTTGCTCATGGGAACTGCTGCCCCACCGTCCTTGGTCAACACCTCCGGAGCCTGCTTAATTTCTCCATCTGTGAGGCTGTGGTTGTTGCCTGAGCTCTGCCAGTCTCTACACAGGAGGATAGGAGTGTCTGCAGGCTCTGGCCCTAAGAAATAGACAAACACAGCCAGACCTACATGTGGGTAGAGGCAGAGGTGTTCTTGGCCACACACACTCAGGGGAACCCCAGATCATTCATTTCCTAGCTCAGAGTGCCCGTGAGCCAGCTTTGGGCCCTGCCAGAGCCTCAGCTTCCTCATTCCTGAAGTGTACCCCACAGAACTGTCATAGGCCTGCAAGGTGACCCGATGACTCCCGTTCAGGTCAGCCCAGTTCTTTCCGTATCCACCAGGGGGCGCCGCTGGACCTCAGCGCACCGGCTCCTCCTCTTCTAGATTCGGCTTTTTTCGGCCACAGTCGGCTACCACCCGGAGGGACCCGACTCGGAAAAAAAATCGTCTCTGTTCGTCTCTTGGCCGTATTCGGCTGGATTCAGCTCTGTTCGGCTTTGCTCTGCGGGACTCGGCTCGGTTCGACCCTTTTCGGATATGCTCGTCTCGGCTTCCACGTTGTGGTCTCTAAGGACCTTGAACACTGGTTCTTGACTTTTCTGACTGGGCCTGGAGGGTCTAGCCTGGGTCTCTAGAGGGAGACTCAATAGAGTCAGTTTGGAGCTGTCCTTATGGGACTGTCTGGCAGAGGAACCCTGACCACTTTTTGGGGTGCACAGGTTGGGAGGAATAAATTCTGCTTCTCACTCGGAACTGGGCCTCGTGCCAGCACTGTCCAGAAGGTGGCGCCCTCCTCTCCTTTTGTTCAGACCTTAATTTGGCAGTGACCTTGAACTACAAGTGTGAATTACCATTCACAATTTACAGGGCTGACTCCTGGCTTCATTAAGTCACAGTCTTGGCTCCTGAAAGTGAGAAGGGCGGGAGTGATCGGAGAAACAGACACCCACACTGTGGGACTCTGGCCTTGGTGACCTGGTTTGGGCTTTCTGTGTCCCTAAGAGAGGTTTATGAAAGACTGTGGAAGACATCATGGGTCTCGGGGTACCTCCTGGCAGGGCGGGTGTGCTGAGGAAAGTGCCTGCCTGCCTCTTCATACAGGCCAGGAGAAAGCTCCCTTTGGCTGGCTATTCCCAGACACTCCTACAGTCCTGGAGTCTTCAAGTCGTCTGGCCCCGGGTCATTAAGACTAAGAGAGGTGCCTGGTGTGGTGATGATGGTGGCTCATGCCTTTAATCCCAGCAGAGGCAGAGGCAGAGGCAGAGGCAGAGGCAGAGGCAGAGGCAGAGGCAGA